CTTTTTCTTTTTTGGTCAGTTAGTTTTCTCGTTTCTCTTGAACTGATCAAAACACAAAGCGACTTTAGAGTAAATGTTAGAATATGTACAATGTACTATAGAAGTGACATATTTATAAATAACTTATAACTTAGAAACAAAGCTGTCTATCTTCTTACATAGTTCGCGTATATTGTATTAATCCGAATTCTAATATATAATAGTTAACCTCATTACATAAGTAGGATATCAAATATTGTTTGTTTCGTATTACACTATAAACATACTCTGTTGCGTGATTGAGTGGGTGGAGGTAGAGTAGATGATTTCAAGTCTCTTAGTTCATGGCGAGTCCTCTGTCGGCCTTTAATGTCCATTTCTAGGTGTTAGTCAATGTATGAAGCAGACCTAGTTGATTCTGAGGTGGAATCATTTATGTCATGTACAGTGGTACAATTGCAATTGACATAGAGCCAAACTTTTTGTGGTAAAAAAACACCATTCATATTGAGGAACTTAAAGTTAGTGCTAGCTTCTTCACATTTGTCGTAAGAAGCCTCTGTGTGAAGTATAAAGAGAGGGGGATACCAAAGGGGATTTAAAAAACAATAAGTCGAAGAAAACCAGCATTTAAATAATAAACCACACGACACTTTTATGTATCACAGTATTTCGGATTTATGAAAACACTGGTCATATTATCGTTTCAGTTAAATTTTCTATTCGTCAATTTAGACAAAGACATATGGAGACAATGCATGTGATAAAGATAGAAATATTTTTAATTATCTATGATACATTTCTTCTTCAAATATTTCTAATACACGAATGTATATATAGTATGTGAAATGATCTTTCAATGTCTATCGAGGTGAAAAGCAACATTTGCAGTAACTCGGGATGATGTTTACTGCTGATATTTTTCTAGTTTTTTTTTAATTTTAAGTTGAATAGTATATCTTTATTAATGCAGAACTAAAAAACTACGGAAATCATAGATGCATTATTCCCTACACAGAATATAAAACCTCTATTTTTGCCTGCCAATTTTACTGAAATATGAGAGCGCTATTTTTTTTTAAAGGTTAATTGATTTGGTTTTCTTAATGTTGAACACTACTGATGAGTCTGAGGTAGACAAAACGCGTGCCTTGCGTACTCAATTATAAATCTAAAGAGCCATTGTCGCTCACCTAGGTCTATGTGCACCTTCAATAATGGACACTCTCCAACATTGTAGACTAGACTAGACTAGATTTCGGCCTTGTTTACTTATATGTAGATCTTTCCGATCTTTTTTGTTGAGTTTCTATCTATCTATTATAGTTTTGATGGTAAAAACGAAAAAATGGTACAAATCATCATTAAAGGGAAATAACTTTAATAAGGAGTCGAGAGACGATTTTGGCCATTTGTGAATTATTTGTAGATATTGTCTTGTTGATCATATTAAATTTAAAGTTTCTGTCTATTTATTATAGTTTTCAAGATAATATGCAAAAACACACAAAATGGTAAAAGTTGTCATTTAAGGGCAATAACTCGTATAAGAAGTCGTAATAGACTGTAGGTAGACAGACATTTTTGTCTATGTCAGATTTTTTCTATCTATAGCGGTTTTCAAGATAATAGACAAAACTGGCATATATAATTAACACATAGAGTATCAGAAACAAAAACGAATTTAAATAACATAGATATATGTGCATATGAGTAAGTACTTTGATACCTGAAGAGAAATTACTTATCTAAAAAAAAAAGAAAACACTTTAAACTTCATTTTTTTTAACTTAACATTTTGTTTCTGCATTTCTTACTTTTACAATCAAGACAGGATGGTACAATATACAAATGAAACATGTAAAAACTTCTAGAGGGTAGTTTATTTGAACACATTCCAAAAAATCTATCTTTTCAAAACTCCCAACTGAATTTTCAATGTTAGTAACCATATATTATTGAATACTATTTGAATATAAGCGGGTTTTTTTCATCCCGAGAGATGGTAAAAGGTTTTTGTTTAAAGAAGACACGTTTACAAAACAATCAAATCGCATCTAGACTCTCTGACTTTGTGCAAATTATAAAAACAAGAGCAAGCATAGTTTAAGAAAAATAAGTAGCATGAAATGATTGAATGTCATTTGTTGCAAGACACCATTTATTGATTCTCAAACGAGTATATATGTTACAATAAATGTGTATAATTATGGGTTTATGTATAATAAGGGATTATGTATAATCACTGGTATCTTTAGTGATGATATATAATCACTTAAATTTTCAGGAACTATGCATAATCACTATAGAAAAAAAGTCAAGGATTTTTAATACATAATAACTGCAATGAAGAGACAGTGAATAAAAGTCAAATAATTTATTCTAAAAAATCATATTTAAACATCTTTAGTAGTATAAATATTAAAACGATAAGCACTATACTCTGATATGAATCATTTATTTTTACAAACTGAATTGTAAATTTAGATGACATCTACTATTGTAGATTTACATATCGACCATTTTCATGCTCTGATTTTCGTTTTTTTTCGCAACAACATCCACTTTTAAAAAAACCTTGTTCTTCATATATTGAATCTGATTTTACCGAATGTTGAAGAAAGAAAAAAAAGTGTTTATTTGAAATATCTAAAGGTGCCACAAAAGTGAATCATTAGAAACATCTAAAGGTGCCACAAAAGTGAATCGACCACCTCAAATTGATTTCTTGTGAAGGATCCGAGCAACATCCTTTGTTTCGTAGCCAGGCATCATCATCTTCAGTCGGTTCATGAACAATGGTTATTACATTTTTAGGGTCTTCCTTTCCGCGATCAATATGCGGAATCGGTATCAAAACTTTACAGCCAATGTTGCCTCCTCTAAAATTGTGTTCATTCTGTCAAGCATGCGTTCTGTTGGTTTTTCTGTTCGTTCAGTTGCATTCGCTAGCTAAGTTTGAATGTCTTGTTCATTGGAACATAGAAAACTAAAACAGATGTTTAATAACTTTCATTGCAATTCATTTTACAACAAATTATATGCACTTTGCATTTACAATGAGAACATTTGACGCGGTTTTGGGCAAACAATAAATTCATGGCATACATGAGCAGTTATCACTATTATGGAGAATGTTGGAATTATCAATTTTAATTTTAAATACTTGTTTGTTCAATGTGGTTCAACACAGTTGAATACCATATCCCTGGAAAAACTGTTCCTTTAGATTTGAAAAATGAACAGGGAATGAAAATTGTCCACTTCAAAAGGATAAGAATGAATTAAAAGGTTTATTTGTTTATATTTGATTTATTTTCATTAAATTTCTTTGTATTATTGATAATCCCTGAAATAATATCAGGGAATTTGTAAAATAATTCTTAAAATTTTCAGTGATTATGTAAAATAACCGGTAATTATCTGGGATTATATATAATCACTAATGATTTTAGTGGTTATGCAAAATCCCGGAAAAATCAGTATTCTACATAATCCCTAATTATACAAATTTACTGTAACAAAATGAGCTTTTACAGCCAAATTGTGAAAAATATATGAAAAAATAAAACATTCATATTTAACAAATAAAACCATAAAGAGGTGTAAATATTACAAAGATTTTGAAATTTACAATTTTACAATTGAACTAAAAATCACCAGAATAAAACAATTTATATGTTAAGTTTAAAGTTTTTCTGATTTCACAAAATCAATAAATGGTACTGGCGACAGGTTCATTTAAACATTGAAGCAAATAATGTCATTGAAATCAACTTTCAATCTGCCATTTATGTAATGTTTTTTTTTATACTCATTACTGCAGATCTCAATGAAATACCTACTTATCACTATAGTAGTATTGATAGTTCTGGTGGACATAATTATTTGTTCAGGCGGCGGTGGCGGAGGAGGAGGAGGTGGAGGTGGAGGTGGAGGAGGAGGGAGTGGGGGTGGTGGAGGAGGAGGTGGCGGTGGAGGTCAACAGGACACTATTGTTATCAATTCAGAGAAAGGTAACAATCAAGGAGGCGGAAGATGGTTCGGCGGCGGAAGACATTTAAGAGGCGGTAAAAAATTTGGAGGCGGTCGACAATTTAGAGGCGGTCGACGAAATTTTGGAAGTGGACGAGGCGGAGGTCGTCGGAATAAATGGTAAAAGTTTTGATCAAACCGTCATTGTTGTTGATGGTAAGTTGTTGAAAACACTATTCCTCTGATTAACCTTTAATGTATGTTATGGGCAGTGTTTTGCTACAGATTATCTTGTTTTATCAATCACCATAATGATCATCAATTTCTCGTCACAACAGAAAGAAGTTTACGCCTTAAAAGTTATAACTTATAAATAAGGAGATGTGGTATGATTACCAATGAGACAACTATCCACCAAAGTTCATATGAAGTGGATTTTAGCAATTATAGGCAACCGTATGGCCTTTAACAATGAGAAAAACCAATACCGTATAGTCGGCTATAAAAGTCCCCGACATGAAAAATATGAAACAGTTCAATTGAGAAAATTAACAGCCTAATTTATAACTAAACAATTTACAAAAAAACAAATATGACAGACATGAACCAACGACAACCACTGGACTACAGGCTCCTGACTTGGGACAGGCACATAAAGAAAGTGGCGGGGTTAAACATGTAGAATATGTCTTATTTATTATCTATTTAATTCTTCTTTTTCAATATAAATGTAGCCATGGAGAATACAAAAATAATGTTTTACACACGAAAGCACTAATAAAAGATTAAAATAAAATATTTCGTTTTAGATGGAAACATCCCTACCGACACAGCTTTAAGATGAAAACCATCCACTTTATATACACTGCATTGGTGATAGAGACAGAGGAAGAACTTTTAAAAAATTGTTTTTATATATATTTTTATATTATACACAGGCAAATTTTGTTCACGTGAATTTAATGTGAAATTAACGTGAATTTCACGTGAAAAAATTCACGTGGATTTCACGTTAATCGAGCTTATACGCGTAATTCACGTGATTTTCACGTGAAATACTGATTCACGTGAAATTCACGTGAAATTTTTCATGTGAAATTCACGTGAATTGAGCCTTCACGTGAAATTCACGTGAACTTTTCACGTGAAATTAACATGAATCGAGCTTCTTTTTTTTAATGAAATTAAAGTGAATTCAGCCTCAATCACACTAATTTCACAGGATTTGAGCTTATTTATGTAAGTCAATTCTAATCTAATACAAATTCTGTTTTGATATATATATAAACATGAAAAATATTATTCTTGGTCTGGACCATGTGTTCATACTTCCATTCTGTTTTACTTTCTTTGTTTCCAAAATTTTTTGGTCTTAAACAAAGAAGGCAAGCAAATGCATCACAGGATATAAATTATATCCAGGGCACCTTAGTTCACTCCTAGAACTTTTTTGGTTGTGTTGAGTCTCAATCCTTTTTTGTAAATGATTTATGGACTGTGGTCATTTATAGAAGTTGATTGCACTGATGTATATTTCATTTGAGTTGATTTTTATTATGTTTGTATAAGTCATATTGTGTGGTCATCAGTTTTGACACAAACCAATCACATTATGGAAAAGACTTACTTGCAAAAGATGCCAATTCTCTTTAAGAAGGTTTTGAAGAAAAAAAACTAGTTCACCTCGCCACTTATTCATGTACCTGCTTAAAGCCAGAAATCTTTTCAGTGGTTGTCAAAAATCTCGTCTTAATAAAAAAAAAATATTCAGAGAATTTGGTGTTGATGGCTATTCTTGATTCATATTGTAATTTTTTTTATAGCCTCTGGTCAATTAAATAGATCATGGCATATCTTTTAGACACCTGTCTTTTGTTGAGGACTGCATGTTAGCACCTTAATGCCTTTCAGGTGTTTTTGTTGTTATATTGCTGGCTGATTGATGTATACCTCATGTCTCATTGTACTAATAAACTAAAATAGAAAGTTCTGTGAAATATAGCTGATATACAAATGTACCATATTGAAAGGCTCTCTGTAATTTACAACCATTTACTTCTTATTTCATATATGCAAAAATAGTTTTTTTCTCATTTTAACACTGATCTTAAGGTTAAGGCAAAATGTTGACAAACAACAGGCATATACCATTAAAAGATCTCAAAGTTTGGCTGCACAATAAGCTAAAAATTCTTGTTATTTCATTTTTTTATATAAAATTCATTTTAAAACATGCATTTTCATTTTTTACTGTAACTTGTATGTTGACACAATAATTTGAATTTGAATTGTATTATATTCTGAAAGTACTTGTGGTTGAAAAAATATACACAATTGTTAATTCCAGTTGGTTTACGTTTCTTGAAAACACCACTACTATGACTACATGTCTGTTAATAATGTTTAAGAGTCCTCTTCTGCATATAATTGCTATTTGTACCCAAGGATTCCTTCATACATTTGCACTTCTCCGCCTAAGATGTTGCTCCAATGATAAAATCCTGTAATGCATACTTAGCAATCAGACTCTTTGAATACTTCCTACAGTTCCTGTAATATAATAAAATCAGCATGTTTGTTTCTGTAGTCAAGCAAAAAAGATAACACCAATTTAATCTCCAATGATTACCAAACTTATAATTAGGAGATAACTGTTTTGTATTTTAAGCTCAGACATGATCATTGGTGATTTGATGGTGATTTACCCAGTAAAACCCAGTAATTCCCACTGGGCTGGGCAATACTCATAAAACCCAGGTTTTTGCCAACCCTGTTTCAGGACATTTTGTAGCTCGCTATGCTGTATCAGTTTTGCTCATTGTTGAAAGCTGTACATATGATCATTTACAGTTGTCAATATTCAGTCATTTGGACTCTGGTGGATAGTTGTCTCATTGGCAATCATACCATGTCAAATTTTATAATAAATTACTTATGAAAACAAACCACATTACCTGTATATATAAGTATACTTAGTGCCTATAGAAACACAACTCATCATTTTCAAGCCCCCTTCTTACATGTCTTAGCCCCATTTAAATTACAATACTAACACAGTATGTGTATGGCTCTATGCATTCTGGAAACATCTGGTTACCTGATACTTTTCCAGTTAAGAAATTTGTGATTAGCTTCCATAGGGGTATAAATCAAAACTCCAAATGCTCTGAAAATTGATAATCTAGCAGACTGTACATTTTTTAATTACCTCTGCAACGGAGGTGTGGCGGTTCATTATGGTTGAACTTTGCCATGTTAACAAGTTGTACCTCCAAAACTGTAGGAGGAGATAGCCAGACAAACAAAGTATCCTCATCCAGACGGACAGGGGTAAATTGATATTATTCCCCCTCGACTGTTGCTGGGCATAACTACATGTACTGTAGCATGTGTAAGGGGACCAGAATTGTGTTTTTATTGGCACTCAGTATAAATTTATATAAAATAGATATCACAAGAGACGAGTAAACACGCTGAAATGTCTTGCATGTTTTACTATTCATGATATATTTTATGTTGATTGTTCTAAACATGCTAAAGATATAATTTTACTATAAGTATGATATATAAACTTAACATAACCAATGATCCATGAAAAAAATACTGTCAAGCAAATAATGCCAAGGTCAGAAAAACCAAGCCAGACAGACATGTGCACCTTACAATCATTGCCTACCCCAAATATAGCTGATCTGTTAATTGATTATAGCTTGTATAGTATACAACAAACACAGTGGCAAATCCAGAAATTTTCATAAGTGGGGGCCCACTGACTGCCTAAGAAGGGGCCCGCTCTGGTCAAGCTTCAGTGATTCCCTATATAATCAACCAAATTTTTCCCAGAACAGGGAAGGGGGGAGGCCCCCTGCCCCCCTAAATCCGCCTCTGCAAACAGACCAAAATATGAAACTTATTATTGACTAATGAACTATGAATATCAGGTCATGGTAAGATGAACCCTGCCCAGACAGACATGTACACCATACAATCAGTTGCAGACAAGACAAAAATGGCCTTATTCATGATAGCAGTTATTGTTTAATCTTGGTCAAGCTATTTTGATAATTTTCCTCAAACTACAAGCATAACATATATACACATGGGAATATTAATATGAAATAAGAATTGAAATCTAAGGAAATCCAGAATATAATATTCTATTCTCATAAATTTACATGGACTGAAAAGGGGTAAACAAATCTAACTACATGCCTATTCCATACATGTATATATAGCAGATTAACTTTTCCCTTGATCTGTTGATTGATAGTGTTTTTTTATTTTGTCAGTTTGCGTGGACTCCTTTTTAAATTTGCACAGGATTCGGCATTTTTGTTATACAATTTTGACAGCAAATACTGTAACAAATACATACCAGTTACATGTACTGTATCTATAGGGTCTCCACTACATGTATATCTAATCAAGTCATTCATTTCATCGAAACATATAACATGTATAACTTCACTTCCACTTACATCTGGGGAGCTAATTCTGAAAATTTAAATTCCAGTGATTATTATAAATATAAGACCTGAACCTGATCATGCTGATGAACTGTTTTCCAAATAAAAACATGGCAATACAACTGAAAATTCATTTAGATATATGTCAAATTCACACAGGCAATTGTTTTAAATAAATGTTGATAGTGTCCACATGAGGACACAGATGATGCCCCTGCTTGCATATCATATAGTTATAAAGGGACATAACTGAAGAACGGTAAAAGTGATGCTACCCAAATTTGAACTTGATCTGAGTTTTGTGGTAATAAGCATTGTATGTAAGTCTCATAACATTCGGTTGAGGCTAACTTAAGTAGAAAACAGAAACTAAAAATTCAGCAATTTTTCTATTTGTAAACACGCATAACTCTAGAACAGTTGTGTATAAGTTTCATAACATTTGGTTGAGGCAAACTTAAGTTAGAGAACGGAAACTAAAACTTTTGCAATTTTTCCATTTCTAAAGGGCATAACTCTAGAACGGTTAAAGTGACGCCACCAAAATTCAAACTTGATCTGTGTTTTGTGGTAATAAGAATTGTGTATAATTTTCATAATATTTGGTTGAGGCAAACTTAAGTTAGAGAACTGAAACCAATTTTGGGACGTACGTACAGACGGACAAGGGTAAAACTTAATGCCCCCACCGTTACGGCAGGGGCATAAAAATATTCACCAAGAGAGAAAACAATTAATTTTTCTTTTAATTAATAAGTGAACATCACTAGCAAAATGACTAGTACTAAATTTCTAGATTGAACTGTTGCGCATTTTGTCAGGATCTTTAACAGCTGAGTAAACAGTATTGTTCTGTTCATTGTTGAAGGTCTTAAAGTGGCCTAAAACTGCTTACATCCCCTTCATTTTGAACGTGGCTGATCATGATAGTTTTCTTATTGGCAATCCTACCACATCTCCTTATTTTCAAATTACTAAAAATTATCAATCTGCAACAATTAAATTCTATTTATATACACAGCTACTTTTGCATAGGTACTATTTCTGTACCAAACATATGTAGTACTGGGAATCTACTTTTAATATTCAGTACTATTTTGTTACTTTAAAATTAGTGCAATATTTAGGAAACTTTATTTTACAGTAGCAGTGTACATGTACATTGTATATATATTGATTAAAGGTAATCTGATCATCACTATGAAGCAATGTTCAAAACACTCTGCCATTATCAGAAATCAAATTTATTTAAAGTCCAATGACAAAGTATATGTGCAAAACACTCAAAACTTTTTTTAAGTACCACAATCTGACAGAATTCATACATATACATAATCAGTGAGGCATAAAATGAAGGTCAAAAAGATATACTTTTTGTTGGATGCTACATCATCATTATTAGTTAAATGAATGCAAGACATTGAGTACATGTAGTTACTAGTACATAATATTTGAACTTAAAATAAAGGATAATCTGATTTTTATCAGTCTCTGATCAGAAATAAAGCCACACAACAGCGAAATATATGTATCAGAGATGCACATACAATCATTGAATATATGTTTAAGATTAATACTTAGCATTGGCTGTCAACGTACATTTTTTGGTACATGTAAAAATGGACTGTCTGATAGGCAAACTCCACATAGAGATTGGACACTACATGTAGGTTACTTCATTAATTCCAGTATCAGTCATTATCAATAGTCAACTCCTCTGCCCATACCTTGTAATACTGCTGAAAGGGAGAAAACAGTACATTTGTGGACGCAATACTATTCAAAGAGTTTTGCAAACAATTAGCTTATAATATACATGTATTTCTTGCTATATGTATTTATATTAAACTTAGAATTGTACTATCAAATATCAACTAGAGGCTCTCAAGAGCCTGTGTCACTCACCTGTATCCACTGTTGTTTTGAAAATCATAATTAATAGTATTAGATACCCTTTTAATGATTTTATTAAATTTGGTCCAGTAGTTTAAACTAAAAGCAGGTCATCCCATTGTAGTCTTACAACAGTAACTGAAGACCCCTTGTCATTATTAAATTAGTTTTCAAGTTGTAACCATTTGAAATTGATTGTTTACAATTTCCCCTTAGACTGTATGGGATTTGCTCATTGTTGAAGGATGAACTGTGACCTGTAGTTTATGTTAACTTCTACATGTATGTCATTTAATCTTGGGTGAAGGGAAATTATACCATATCTTCTTTTATCTATATATTAGTTCAGGTGTATGAACATATACAAATGATGTACAATGTATATTATTCAAGACTTAAATGTTTTGAAACCAGAAAATCCTTCTTTTTTTTTGGCCCCAAATTATTAAATGGTTTACATGGTTTAATCTGTTACCCCAAAAATTAATCCAAACCTTCTTTTGAGGTATGGAACCTACAAATGACCTATTAAGTAGTACAATTTTATAGTTATCCTACACTTATACACAATTTATTGCCATGAAACATGAAAAATGCTTGTTTTGGACCATAATTCCTACATTTGTCCTAAACAGTTTCTGCTATAAAAAAAAATCATCTGAACTGAAACAAAATTTGAACTTGATATGCAACTTGTCATGGTAAAACTACATGTATACAATAATCATGAAAATTATCAGATCAATATCTTCAAGCATATATAACAATAAAATGCTCTGCTGGGCACAGCTTGATACGACCGCAGAGGTCGAACCCTGAACAGTTGGAGCAAGTATGGACACAACATTCAAGCTTGATACAGCTTTGGATTGTGATTAAATATTTGACACAGCATAGGTTCTGACACAGAATGAATGTGGTCAAAGAACTTAAAGATTCAGCATATCAAAGAACCCCAAGAATTCAATTTTTGTTAAAATCAAACTAAGTTTCATTTTGGACCCTTTGGACCCTAATGTAGACTAATTTGAACAAGAGGCTGTCAGAGAGACAGCAAACCGGATTTTCCTGCAGAGGTCGAACACTGAACAGTTGAGCAAGTATGGACACTACATTTAAACTTAAAACAGCTCTGAATTTGGATTGTGATTGAATATTTGACACATCATAGGTTTGTGACACAAAATGAATGTAGTCAAAGAACTGATATTTTTAAATTGGACATTTAAATACCTATTATGGTCCAATATCCAAAATCTAAGTACATATTAGAATCAGCATATCAAAGAACCCCAAGAATTCAATTTTTGATGAAATCAGACAAAAGTTTAATCTAGGACCCTTTGGACCCTGATTTGGACCAACTTGAAAACTGGGCCTAAAAATCTAATATCTAAATAGAGTTTAAATTCAGCATTTGAAAGAACCCTATATATATATTTAATTTATGTTGAAATGAAACACTGGTTAATTTTATCCATAATATTTTCTGTGCAAATGGAAATAACTCAAACTGGATAAATAGTTCTCTAAAATAAGATATGATGCATTTTTTCAAATTATAATCAATAATATAATAACAACAACCAGTGATGACTAATTAATATAAGTTCTCTAAAATTAGATATGATTTAACACTCAAACATTGTTAGAATCAGCATATCAAAGAACCAAAGAATTCAATCTTTGATGAAATTAAACAAAAGTTTAATTTAGGACCCTTTGGACCTCAATGTGGTATTATCTTATTAATAATGAAAAGCTCGACCGTTTACAAGTTCTTAAACAGGAGGGGGGTGGGGGTGACCCAAAGGGACTCGCCTTATACCCCATGGATTTCATTTGATTTGTTTTATTGTCCCATACAAGAATATATATGGTTTCGGAGATCTTGACCCTTTACAAGTTTTCAAAAAGAAGGGGGTGGGGGTGACCCCAGGGGACTCGCCTAAAATTTTGAGGCAATTACCCCCAAAATCAATCCCAGCATTCCCTTTGTGATATGGAACCTTGTGGTACAATGTCAGAGAGATCCATACACTAACACACAAGTTATTGTCGGGAAGTTACAAAAATGCTTATTTTTGGCCCCTAATTCCTTAACTGTTGGTACCATAACCCCCAAAATCAATCACAACCTTCCTTTTGTGGTATCAAACCTTATGGTAAAATTTCATAGAGATCCATTCACTTGAACTAAAGTTATTGTGCGAAAACCAATGTGTCTTCGGACGAAGACGACGACGCCAACTTCATACCAATATACGACCGCAAAATTTTTTAATTTTTTGCGGTAGTATAAAAATGAAAGTGAAAAACTGATTGTTTGCGTGAATGTAGCTCTGCAAAATTAAAACAACTTAAGTTATTTTTTCCGAACAGAATATATATTGAACTTGATCTGTGAACTTGTCATAATGTATACATATCTAAATATTATTGTTTATAATAATATTGTTTGTTTGCTATATGCCCTTCTGGGGCCCTAATTTGGTGAATAAAAATATTCTATTCTATTCTATATATAAGGGCGAGGGTTCGGATTCCCCTAACATGTTTAACCCCGCCACATTCTGTATATATGTGCCGGTCCCAAGTCAGGAGCCTGTTATATTAATTCAGTGGTTGTCCTTTGTTGCTTTGTTACATATATATTTGTTTTTAGCGTTCATTTTTTATACATTAATTATGCCATTAGTTTTCTTGTTTGAATGTTTTACATTTGTGATTTTGGGGCCTTTTATAGCTGGGTTTGTGGTATGGGCTTTGCTCATTGTTGAAGGCCATACGCAACTATTATCAGCACCCGCTTTGCGCATGCGTCAAATTTGACCACAATCGATATCGATAAATTTACTATAGATTGTTAAAGGAAATCTTAAATTTTGATTAGCTGTCTGTAAATATCATTAAATTTCTTTTTCATTGGCATCAATTTTGAAAGTTCAATTTATAAGCTTTCTACAGATCTAATTTGTATTTTGATAAGGATTGCAGAAGTTAGGGCCTTTTTCAATTAAAGAACACCGGGTGCACGACCTATTACATTGTACTTCATACAATACGAAACCAAAAATGTGTGCACATGGGTTTTCTTTAATGAATTGACATAAAATCTTTATTAGAAACAGCTTCATTCGCATGTATATTTATTCTCTGGTTTTACATCTATCCAACGATATAAATTTCATATTTTACAATTTTTTTTGAATCAGGGCCTTTTTTATTCAAAAATCGAGATGCGATCATTTTTTGAAGTTGACCAGAAATAATCTAAGTCAAACCAGGTAAATATAATATTCATGGATAAATAATTAACACATGACAATGTGATAACTTCTGTTATTCTCAGTAGACATGAGTTGTTTGTGTTTTTTTTTTCTTTGACGGTTTAACAATGTTTAATAGCCTCTTTCTTTTCAAGTTTACTTTATAAATTGTAAATTTCAAAGCACAAAAGTTTCAAATGAGAAAAAAAAAATATTCTCCAAGATAAACCAATTGCCAAAGTCTTAAAAGAATTAGACAAGGGCAGCATATGTGCCAGTGTGGACTATATACGAAAATATTTGTATGTAGTAATGCTAATTTAAAGATTACAAAACGACAATCGCTTAAAATTGAAATAAATTGAACTAAAATATTTTAACAGTTTAAGGAAGATTGGGTGTCTAAATTATAATCCATAGAATTTTTTTAATAATTTGCAAAAATGTAGTTTATATCATGCTTTTTAAAAAAAAATAATAAAAAGAATGGGACACGGGGCTTATTTTCATGCTACAGGTTGTGCAAAATTGACAGATTTTGTAATGATTATGCATGGAAAACCCAATTTTCTGCCATAAAACGAAAACTACACCATAGAATTTTGAGATAAAATATGTGAAGATAGCTCTAATAGTATGCTTTCAGATAAGAAAAATAAAAAATGGGGTCATGGGACCCGTTTTCTTGCTACATAATAAAATAGGTAAATTCCTAACACATTCTATTGTAAAAGTAACTTTATCTGAATTATCTGCCCTTACATTTCAGTTGCCTCCCCTTATATGGCAAAGTTGGAAAAAATAGAATCAAACAAAAGTATTCTGTTTTTTTGTAAAATACAACCATAAATATGATAAAATAGGTCATTTTCTATATTGAAATGAAAATTCTTACACATGAATTACCTACTACTCTCAAAATTTGCACCTTTTATTAAAGATCTAGACCGATTGTTTTCTGGTATTTCAAAATTCAAGATGGAGGAAGACACCCTATCTACCTTAAGAAACAAAATTTTAGATACATACATGTACATGTGAATTTACTAGTCTATTGCTTGTTTGATGCACATTCTCCTTTTATACACTTAACTTTTAGAAAAATAAATCGCATTGAACAAAATAAATATTATTTTTAATTTGTCTCCGTCCTTTCAAAAGATTCTATCATGAAAAAAATTTTAATTTTGCAATTGAACATTTATGTAAAATATTTATTAAAAAGGAAACTTATTTTAATTATTTTTCTGTTAATGTAAAGTTTACGGAGAGCTGTCTCATTGGCACTCATACCACATCTTCTTACATTTACAAAATTTATAAAAAAAAAAAATGTATATTGTACATTTTTTGTACATGTATTTGCAGAATTTGAAATTTTTAATTTATCAAATGAATAAGATAATTGGAATCGTTAAAATTCAGAATTATACTTGAAAACAGATGCCTGCGACCCCTGTTGTTTCGAATAGCATGTTTTCTAAAGATATCCGTGTGAAGTTCACAAATTTCAACATGTATTTGGTCACCTGGTGTGAATTTCAGATAAAATTGTCAAGTTCAAATCTGTGGTTAAAACTTTCCTTTACATATCAGTTATATTATTATCTGGGCAGGGTACTCCCCCCCCCCCCTTTTTTTATATTATACTCTGAACATTATTGTATACACTTTTTCTGTGGGACTTTCTTTATGTAAAACAAGATAAAAATCTACGTTGTCTCATATTCGGATTTACGTCGAAAGAAAGGTTTAAGATATATCAAAATCAAACAACATCGTGTGAACATTTCTATTGATGACTATAGTGAATCATTTTTCGATTATGTATTTTGTTATTACATGAATTACATCTATCCATATTTTGATTGTCAACTCATTGCATACCGTACTTCTCTAAAAATAATGTTACTGAAATCAAGAATATTATATCTAATATAATATAACCTCACAATTACAACCCTCTTGCTTTTGAAATTGTTAAAGAACAATTTTAATTTTATGTAAGTGCTTTTATAAACTATAACAAGCCAACGATTTAATGATAGATATATATACATGTATATATGTTTGGTTATCATAATCTCGTATTTGTCCTTTTTCGACTTTTTATTTTGTATGTTTGATATTCGGTAAAATAGAATTTTATCTTTTGGAAATAAAGTCAGTTTATACAACTCGTATTCATGTGGAACCTAGCATGCTACAATGTCATATGGTTATAATATTGTTTACTTAGTGTTGTCAAATTATTAACGAGTGTCAACATTGTCTTTACAAACTCAGCATGTTGTCTTGATAAGATATCACACACAGAAAAGACTGATCAGACGGATAAGAAATTAAAATCATGCGCGATAACTTGTACTGGCTTACACTGAGGATAATAGTTGGCCATGCTGTACAGTGACCTGTAGCATTCTCATTGGCAATCATTCCACATCTTTTTTATACTGTATCGTTTTGTTGTCATTATTGATTTATACCATTTGTAGTTTTCTGTAATCTAAATATGCTGGAATAAAAAAAATTGACACAATTCAAGTCAATTGTGTTGCTTCTGATATGACGTTAAATCTAATGTCAAAGTGAGGTACAGCCACGTGACCAGTATTAGAGTGTACATTTTGTACAACAGATTAGGTACATTGTATTTGATCTGGCTTTCAGTTACTGCTAGCAAGTCCAGAAACTTGTCAGTGATTGTCTTGTGTCATTTATGTGATAACTGCAAGTCAGCCAAGTGTTTGTTATCTATATAACTTTTGAGTTAATCATAGATAAGATAGTAATACGTATGATTTGAATCATACACAAATAAAAAAAGAAGTGACAAATTTATACTGTATAAGACTCAGTCAGAATTTGACATATCCATCTCCATTATTCATAAATATTTTTTGATCTGCCATTATCTGGGAAGTTGCGACACTTAAAGAATTTGATATGAGAAACTAAATCATGAATGGTCTTAAAAGATTTAAGTATCCATATGAACATTGAAAAATTATAAGCAGGTAATGAACTAATAAGTTGGTAGTTTAACTTTAGTTTGTTCAAATTGTTAAAAAAAAATCGATAGCTTAAGACCCCTTGACTTCGTGAATAACAGAATGCAAGCTACGTTACTGTATACAAATAATAAAATAACTTACAATTCAACTGGAATTTGAAATTAGATGCGTTAGGTCCTATGGGGCGAACGTGTATAAAAATTATTTGGGAGCGAACGAAAACGATACCAAAATCGAAGATGAAAACCATTCTCATTCAGTCATTGCAGATTTCTGTTTATTCCTGCACTATTAAATCATTTGTTTGAGTTACCTGTAGTACATCCTCGAGTATTCATTGATTCATAGCTCCTTGGTATTGTTTGTCTTGTTAAATTAACTGAAACAAGTACTGTTGTTGACATATAAGGCACAAAATGTGCACCAGAATTAAGTTATCTTGTTTTGTAACCTCTATTGACATAATGGTTACATTGGTTACATTGGTTACACTCATACAAACTATCATAAATCATCATATATTCAGAAATTCTCAAATCCTGGTACATTTGTAACCTCCGTTGACCTAATGGTTACATTGGTTACACTGGTTACACACATGCAAGAATCCTTTATGCCATCATGTTACCATGGCAACCCCTTTATTCATCACTGTGAGGTTACATAAGTCAGTCAGGTTACAATGGTTACATCCATGGGGATTGAGGGTTACAATGGTTACATGCATGGGAAATCGGGTTTCAATGGTTACATGCATGTACAATGAGGGTTACAATGGTTACATGCATGGGGAATCAGGTTACAATGGTTACATGCATGGAAAAGTCAGGTTACAATGGTTACATGCATGGAAAAGTCAGGTTACAATGGTTACATGCATGGGGAAGTCATGTTTCAATGGTTACATGTATGGAAAAGTCAGGTTACAATGGTTACATGCATGGAAAAGTCAGGTTACAATGGTTACATGCATGGGAAATCAGGTAACAATGGTAAAATGCATGGGGAAGTCGGGTTACAATGGTTACATCATGGGAAAGTCAGGTTACAATGGTTACATGCATGGGGAAGTCGGGTTACAATGGTTACATACATGGAGAATGAGGGTTACAATGGTTACATGCATGGGAAATCAGGTTACAATGGTTACATGCATGGAAAATCAGGTTACAATGGTTACATGCATGGGGAAGTCGGGTTACAATGGTTACATGCATGGGGAAGTCGGGTTACAATGGTTACATGCATGGGGAAGTCGGGTTACAATGGTTACATGCATGGGGAAGTCGGGTTACAATGGTTACATGCAAGGGGAAGTCTGGTTACAATGGTTACATACATGGAGAATGAAGGTAACAATGGTTACATACATGGAGAATGAGGGTTACAATGGTTACATGCATGGGAAATCAGGTTACAATGGTTACATGCATGGAAAATCAGGTTACAATGGTTACATGAATGGGGAAGTCGGGTTACAATGGTTACATGCATGGGGAAGTCGGGTTACAATGGTTACATGCATGGGGAAGTCGGGTTACAATGGTTACATGCATGGGAAATCAGGTTACAATGGTTACATGCATGGGGAAGTCGGGTTACAATGGTTACATGCATGGGAAATCAGGTTACAATGGTTACATGCATGGGAAATAAGGTTAAATGGTTACACGCATGGGGAATGAGGGTTACAATGGTTACATGCATGGGGAATGAGGGTTACAATGGTTACATGCATGGGAAAGTCTAGTTACAGTGGTTACACACATGGGGAGTAGGGTTACAATGGTTACATACATGTAAAGTCGGGTTATAATGGTTACACTACTTGTGACTTTATCTTTTTAATGGTGGCCATAAAAACTATGTCCACCATGATGGCCCTATATGTCCATCATTATACCCCTGTTGCTAAATTAATACACAAGGTATTAATCAAAAACTATTCAAAGATAAAGGGAAATCATGACTGCATTGAAGTGTTAAAATTATATAACTTACAGGTCAAGTGTCTCAGGTAAAATATATGTGTTTGTCAAATTTAATTACTAGCTGTGATTATGACAAGATAATTCAAAAATAAAATGAAATAATAAAACTAGTTGAATTGGAGACCTGGTTGAACATATTGTTTCATAACATTATTTTTGAAAAAATTGTTTCATGACTGTTTGTTTTGACGTTATACATTTTATATAATTCTATCAATTTAAGTTATTTTTTACATGTATTTTTTGACAACTGAAGAATAATGAATGTCATCTTCTAATGAATATAATGCAAACTTTCACAATGCCTGCCTTTTTCTATTGAAAAGGTGTTTCTCAAATTAATTTTCTAAAATCCTATTGTTTATACTTAGAGAGACTGATCTGCATTCAACATTGTTTAAAATTTAGGCAATTCATTATTTCTCTATTGAATAAATATATTCAAAATATATTTATTACAGCAAAATTTGATAATATTTTTATTGTTATTGTCATATAAACATATTATAATTAGTTCTAATGACTATTTTATGAAGGAGCCAATATTTTAAACATGTTCCATGTTATAGAAGTTAAGCATTTCTTTTACTTTTTGTTCTTGGGTAACATGGGTAAGAGACATAATAAGGAGAAGGTAAACAATTTTTAAATAGATTATATCTAAGTTGTTTTGTTAATTTTACAATCAAGGAGGAAGTGTTCTTCATCGTCCAGCAAGTGGCACAGTTTACATATTCTATCCTACTAGGAATTTTATATTATCCACTATTTTCTTTTCTAAATTATGACCACTAATTCTTCACCTACTGAAGCATTTGAGTTTACTGTTAAGTTTTCAATCATACATGTCATAAATTTTTATTTTACTTTCAAAAATATCTTTATATTTTTCTGTAAATTCATTTTAAATCAAGGGCTTTAAAGAGTCTAATTCATTCAAGTTCCTGCAATTAATAACTTTATCTAAAAGGCCTGGGTTGAGTAAAATATTCTCGGCAAATGTATACCAAGTATATGTATCATGCCAGTCTAGCAGTTACAATTTAATACACAGAACAAAAAGTGATTTAATTAATAGACCATAAAAATGTCACAATCTATAGAAGTGTATTTTATTTTTTCTGGAGACAAATTTTGCTTGTTAACTGACAGAAATTAGCCAAACTGAAGATAACATATTTGATAAGTTTACAATTGTTTCAAAAAGCAAGACAATTTTCTTTAAATAATTTCTTTTCATAAGATTGACTTCATTTTGAGAGATAAGAACATTTTTCATTATGATTAGAATTTTTAATGAGCATTTATCAAAATTTGATATTTAACCGAATATCTCAATATATTTAGATATGTGCATCAGGTTGGTTCTAGAACACCCAGACAAAGTCCTTGTAATATTCCTTATTATTCCCAAAACTCAAACTGAATAATATACAATCTTTGTTGATATCTGGAAGTATCTTATTAATCAAATTTGTCTAAAAATTTGAAATAATGTAACACAATTAAATCTTTAACAAAAATTGAGGAATATTTTGTTTATTTAGTTTATTTCTTATAACAGTATAATCATGGAATGTTAGGACAGAAAGTCACAGGACAAAAAGTCACGGACAAAAAGTCACAGGACAAAAAGTCACAATTCAGTTTTGAGATTATTTTTCTTTGAACAAGAAAAAACTAATTTAAAAAGAAATATTTTGGTTTTTTTCTTAAACTATTATTTATAAAGCAACTTTGTAATTAAAATTTATGCAATAAATATTAATAATGATCAAATAATTGCTATGAAAACAAAATGTCAAAGAGGCTTGATCCTTAAATGGCTTCATGGTGCCAAGAAATATATCCTTTGCACGATTAAAATTCAATAAATTTTCATTTATCAAGGCTTATGAACAATTTCCTAAACTTAAAAAAGAATATATGTAATAAAAAGAAAATATTTCAAGATCTTTCTCTTATATATTCAAACAATTGTCAACAAACTATTTGTGACTTTTTGTCCTGTGACTTTTTGTCCTATCAAATTTGTGACTTTATGTCCTGTGACTTTTTGTCCTGTGACTTTCTGTCCATTTACCTAATCATGATCATAGTTTAATATTGTATTAGTTTTTTTTATCATTTACTTTATGCCTTATTTGTTGTTTTTATTTTGACTTGGGACATCGTAACTTTTAGGACTATCCCAAGACACCAAATTTCGGACATATTATTTTAGAAGACTTTCGTTAGCCTGACTTAAGACTAAGACGTGTCCTAAGACCATTACATGTATACACAGGTTGAACATATATATGAAACCACAGCATATTCTAAGTTTTTTGTTTTATATGTCTTGTATTTTGTATTAAAAAAAGTCAAAAATTGGGATACAAACAAACGAAAATATAAGGAAATAAGATTGTGCTGTGGATACATGTATTGTCTTTTGATCAGGCGGTTTTTATCATAAAAAGCTAAGTTTCATAAAATTCCACATAGGTCTGACAAAATTATTGATTTTAGACTTCTAATTATGTTAACTGTAAAAAAAAAAAACACTGTGTCAAGTGATCAGTAAAATACGGACAACTGAAAAATTGTGAAAAATCCAGTCTTAAAAATTTAACTTATCCCCTTGGAAAAAGGAAGACTCAGTGGAAAAAGAATCACACATTTGGTAGGAAAAAACGTCCCACATCCTGATAAAAGTATTGAAAAAATTCACAAATCTGATAAGAAATAATTACCATACTTGAACAAATGTTTAAAGAATATCATTTCTTTTCTTTTCTTTTAAAGTTATACAGAACTCAAATTATTATAGAGCCATTAGAGGCCAGTGCATAGTATGTGTATGCAAATTTTAAGAAGAATTCAATGGTGAAAAAAAAGTTGCTATATCTGTAGGGATCCACCTTAAATGGTAAAAAATCATATATCAATAATATAAACCTAATTTTTTTCAAGGTTTTAAGTGCTATAAGTAAGTAAGTAAATTGTTTATTACAGTGACATGTGAAAATCAACATAAATATATAAATTTGTACAGAATATAATTACATGCATAATACACCCGGCCCAATGGACCAATAAGTCACCTTTTACTTTCAATTCAATATAAATGTTCCAATATCACGTGTTAATTGTCAATTTAAATTTAAATTCGAGAGACGGATAATTATAATTTAAGAATTACCGTTTGTAAAAAGTTCATATATTATTCTTCTAAAGTTTGTGAAAAAGTTTAAGAATGTTAACTAGAGTAAACTGTTTGTTTTCAACAGAAAAGTGATGCTGCTAAGTCAGAACTCAGCTGCTAAGTATTTAGCTATTTTCCTTGGAGGGTTCACCATTAGAAATGTTAATTTTCCCTGGTTATCTAGCTGCATATAGTCAGGCACCATTAATATCTCGCTAAAAACAGCGA